CGGCATTCTAATCTCTTAGCCCTTCTAACTAATATCCAGATGCGAGAAAAGGCAGTCGGACATTCGAGCTCACATTTCACCGTGCTTCCGTGCCAAAGAAGGAGATCATGTTATCATTCGGACTTACCACTGCTCGTTTCTATATATGGAAACTGTGAACTGGCTTGCCGACAAAAACCCAGGCCATTGTCAAAGACAGTGAGGTTCAACCGACGTCCTGAAGGTGGTTACGGCGGGAGGTTTCGTTCCGGCGGAGGGAAGAAAGCATTTTCCGGAATGTAAAAGCTTCTGGGTATGTCATATATGGGGAGTTTATATCGATTTTGTCATCAGGCACCATATTTTCTCGGTCGGAACACCGTTAAGTTAAGTATGGGAAAGCTATCTGTTTTGGTTGATGGGCCTTTTAAGGATCCTCTTTGAATCGTGTTTCAGTTGCATTGGGTCACGACTCATGACTACGGTCCAGTCCCATTCGTCAACTTGCATTTTCATTCAATGTCTTTAATCTTTGACTTTTGAGTTCCAAGTAGATATTATATATTCATGATGAGAGTGATGAGCCAAAGAGAGGGAACATGCTTAGAGTGTGAAACAAGCAAAGTATATACATACATATATATATATATATGTATGTATGTATGTACGTATGTATTAAGGATTTGGGTTTTTTGTAAAGAATGAACTTTGATTCTATTTTGTAGCTGAAAGTGCAGGTGACGTGGAATTTATGATATAGGTTTGTATAATTAATGACTTTGTTGGGTCTACATTGGTTACACACCTTGTCTCCTCCTTAATTGAATCCCGATTTTTGCAGTTATTAGTATTACCCTCTCTCTCTCTCTCTCTCTCTCTCTCTCTCTCTCTCTCTCTCTAGGCTTTTGTTGAGATTAGGGGTCGCCAAATTGAATTACAGTGGTCACTGTACGGTTTTATCCAGATTTTGAAAAATGATATATAATCAAAATCATTTTGGTTATAAAACGATTTGAATCGATTATATATTCATTATTAAAAAAATATATATACGCTTTTGTGCTGGAATTAAGTTATCCAAATCACTAGTAATAGATAAAGTCGTTATTACAGGGTGTAACGACATTCGCGAAACGCAATTTGTGGCATGCGATTCGGGAACACACTCGCTTCCATGTTCCGTGGAAAATAAAAAGGCACGATGGATGGATGTCTTAAAAATATTATACGTACTTACTGTCTGAGAGTCGTATTGCATGCATCGTGCGACCGTATTCTACGCCACATTTTTATTTATACGAAAACCATAGAATGCATACCCGCCAATAATGAGACGTCACGTGTCCCTGCATGTGCGCATTACTCGGCCGTGTTTTTTCAGTTCACGGTCGTTTTCCATGGACATGAAATTCCCACACATTCCATAATAGTGTATAGTCACGGGTTCGAATTAATTATATAGCCAACTAACTATGTGGATGACTATATTTTTAACGTATGGAATTACAAATTATAAAATTTCAAAAGAAAAAACGTAACATTTTCAAAATGACAGGTGGCAGTTGATAAAATCATGGGCGACCAGGTGCTCTATGCAAATTGAACGGTACATAATTAACTATTTGATCAAAAGCTTTCTTGGTAATTAACCAAACCAAACTTTACTTCCGGATTCTATGTAGAAATACAAGCTTGGTAATTTTGTATTTTTGTGAAAAAAGAAAACGCACGAGAGAGGAGCCGAGAGTGGACATAACGACAATTCCTGTTATTTTTATTTTTATCTTATTTTTGGCAACAACGGAGTTTATTTTTTTTTTAAATAAAAAGTTTCATATATAAAAACCCACGAAAAGTAAAAAAGAAAAAAGAAAAAAGAAAAAACTGTTGACAAGAGAAGCCTCAGATGGTATAATATATCTGTTTGTGGTGTCAGCAAGGTAAGCATAAAGGGCTAAAAAAAATTCATAAAAGAATATGCTACAAAAAAAAAAAAAAAGATAACAATGGTTATGGCATTCTACCATGTAATTCCATTTATTAGCACTTTGATTTGGTTTGGTTCGTATAAATGTAAATATCTGCAGTCCATTTGAATTTTCCTAAATTCCAACTTGTATGAAAATCGAAAACTTTACTTAATAAAAAAACAAGTTATTATTTGAATTAATTATCTATGCAATTATTGTGAAAATTGGGTTTAAAATTGAGTAAATGGAATAACGAAATTGAATGCAATGCAAGCAAACCTGCGTTCACTTTTTTTTTTTTTTTTTTTTGGTTTGGTGTTGAATGAATGAGGCACTGCTTCAGTTGGTTGGTTCCCTTGTATTTATTTCGCTCTCTTTCCCAACGCCATCCCTTATTTATATCCATAACATACATACATATATATACATATGTATATATCCATTGTATTTCTTCGTCGCCACGACCGTTCCATCACCTCTCTCACCACCGACGTCTCATACTGACTCTAAATCCGTCACACTCTCCAATTCCTCGCGTGCCTCTCACGTGCCCGATCTCCCCCTCCTCTTCACAACCGCCATCGAAACGACGATTGGAGAAATTCTGCAGAGAAGCCATGGGTTCTCTCTTCGACGGCCATGGCGCAGACTCTGATTCCCACTCCTTCCCCTTCGATAACCTGAAACTGAGCGTCTTGATCATCATTCTCATCCTCCTCGTCACATTTCTCATTTCACTCTTCATCTGCTCCCTCCTCCGTTACCTCAACCGCTGCAGCCTCCACCGGCGCTCTCACTCCTCGTCCTCCTCCTCCGGTGTCGCAGATTCACGGAGGATATCTGGCCGCCGCGTCTCTCCTGGGATCACTGCCTCGTCGGTGCTTGATTCGCTGCCGATTTTTAAATTCTCCGCCGTCACGCGCCGCTCCTCCTCCGCGATCTCCGGTGACTGCGCCGTCTGCTTGTCGAAGTTCGAGCCGCACGACCAGCTCCGCCTCCTCCCGCTCTGCTGCCACGCCTTCCACGCCGACTGCATCGACACGTGGCTCGTATCCAACCAGACGTGTCCTCTCTGTCGCTCCCCTCTCTTCGCCGCCGAGTCCGATCTCATGAAGGCTCTCTCCGGCGGCGGAGAAAACAGCTTCCGCCTGGAAATCGGCTCCATCAGCCGCCGCCGCCAAATAACAGAATCGGGCGAGCAGCAGAGATCCTACTCCATCGGATCGTTCGATTACATCGTCGACGACGATGAATCCGAGGTCTCGATGACTGATGTCCGCCGGAGAAGCATATCCGGAAAGGACGAGGAGGCCGTCACAGTAGCGGAGCCGTTCGAGTCGAGCCTTGCGGCGGACATTGGTGGTGGTTCCAGGAACTGGCTGAAGGATTACGTCGACAGATTCTCTCGTGGTATATCGTCACGAGCATTGTCGTTCAGGAGCTCAGGGAGGTTCTTCACCGGAAGCAGCCGCCGGACTGAAGAGTTTCAGGGGACGGCGGACATAGAAACTAACCCAGCCGTCGCCGGCGAGGAGATCAGCGAGCTGTTCCGGTGGCTATCCGGAGTGTGAAAAACAACACATGATTGCGTTTGTAAATAATGAGGGGTTAATGTTTGTTTTGATATGCGAACAATGTTCTGGCTTAGCAATTAGAGTTCTATATTTCGACCGTAGGTTTGGATTGCATTTCGTTTATTTGTTATTGGATTTTGCGGATATAAAAAAAATTTAATGTTGATCGATTTCTATTAAGGTTTCACTGGAGTTAAATTTTCATTTGATAAATGGTTTTTATAGTTCAAAAATGTTATCTCAATTCGATTTTAATATCATTCAATTCAAACACAGTTAGTTAGCATCGGTTCAGTCTTACAGTAATGTCATTCAGTTCAAATACAGTAACTTCCAGTTATTCTGAAGTTGGAAATTCGAGAGATAAATTTTGGGCCTCTGGTACTTAATCTTTCGGCCCAATATCAACCTAAAACTATGGGCCTTTTATTCTCACTCTCTCGGCCGAAACCTTTGGGCCTTGGGTACTCTCTCTCGGCCCACAAAACATATCCTCTAATGGTAATGGTGAATATCAAGCATGAAACGTGAGCTGAAAGACAGATGGGACATTTTCGAAGAATGAAATTGCTTGCAATTTCCAGCAAATTCTGACGCATAAACGTTTCAAAGATGGAAAACTCAACATTTGGGAGGATCAAAACTCCAAGACTCGAACCTCGATCATACCCTCCTTTCGTTTGGGAGAATACCAAGCCACGACCTTTCCAGATTCCAGAAGCCTCAAGGAGTAATTCAAACTGAGCATCACATCTTCCATTCTTGCTCCATACTTTCCTGCCCCTACCTGAAACTGTGAATCTACTCTGAACACGATTGGCCCTGCAACCTGGAAAAGATCGCAACCGGAACAAGTGATCTCTCTGTCATCAGAACAGAAGGAAGAAAAGCCTGTTCTGTCAAGGGTTTCACTAAACGCCACTTTCAGTTATCTGAGACATTTGGTTGGGGGCAGAAATGGTTCTTTCTAAAGCCAATTCACTTTTTTGAGTGCAATCAGATTCATAAGAAACTTACCTGTTGCATGAATATGAGCTTTAGCCTGGGAGACCACAACGAATCATCTGCGGCATCAGCTGAAGATCTCGTAAGGGTTTGGAAGACCCTCTTGGCAAGTGCTGAAGCCGAGCAAATGTCCACACGAGCATCTACCCGGGTTAGATCACGGTAATACTTTCTGAATTGCCCTTTCTGGAACGTATAACAAACAGAACTGAACAAATCAGCGCTTATCGGACTCCTCCTCTTGTCTCGCCCTGTAATCCATGCTGCGAAACTGCCACCTGCGGTGATATCAAGCCACCACCATTAAAAGGTCAAGTACATAGACGAAATCCCATGAAATTTATCCACAAGACAGTGCATTTGCAGGGTTTCCGGAGAAATACCGATTATTCCTGATATTGCTGCATGGGGCTCCTTGAGGCGTTCATCGTATGATGGTACATCAAAATCATCATCTTCCGTGTTCGTAGTTCCATCATCTTCGCCCTCTTTTTGCCTCCAGAAGTCCCTGCTCATTTTGTATGAAACTGCTGCCTTGCTGCACAACCCAGGCATCAATGCAGGAGGAGCATCGCCATCAGCATCATTGACAGCCCGGGGTTGGCCACGGTTACTGTGTAGACCAAAGCGATATCTCAACCCAGAATCTGGGACAAGGGATGACACGTCAAAGGAAATTGATTCGGGAACGTCCCAGTAACGTCCTTTATGGTCAACAAACAGTTCAGGCCATGCTGCTTCCAAAGTGACATCATGCTCTTCAAGCTGTTTAAAAGCTCATCAAAACAAATTTAAAGGGCTCGAACTGTAAGCCTACCTATCAGAGAAACAACCGTGAAGGAGCCTAGCTAAATCAGCAAAGCTTCCACTATTTAGCAGATATGTTCCATTTACATGGTAACTATATGTGAACACGGAAGAAAAAATCGAGTCAAGTTCATACCGGATGGACAAAGGTTAGCTTGTTTCGAAATCCGTTCTTGTCACCCTGCCGCTCAGTGCTGAGCAACAAAGACGATGACGAACCCAATGCAAACTGCGCCCACATACCGATAGAGTACAAGGATTTGTCGATGATATGTTTTGCTGTGTCCTTGACAACCTGGAGATCCCACTCTTCTGCATTGGTGATTTCAGCTCTGATGTCTGATATCAGTTTCTTTGGTCGGAACTGCCCAACTAACCCCAGCCACCTACAAATACGAAAACCATGAATGAAAGACAAAGAAAGGCAAGAAAAATAAATAGATACAAAAATTTAGTACATATATTAGACGGCCGATATCATAAACATTGCCACAAGAACAACACTTAATGCCAGAACCAATCAAACATCTCATTACATGACGCTTCCTCATAAAAGACTTAAACCCAGACGAAGAATGGAAAGTACCATATAGACTCTTTTCGTCTTCATCACTATATCCTAAGACAAGCAGAAGAGAATTCCTGTATGCATCACTTCCATTTCCAAATCCCCATAGACAACTCCAAACAAGTCAACCAAACAACATAATCGCACCGTTTTTCCTTTGTTCTGTCTACCCTGAATTTATCAGTCCTACTGAAATTCCGACTCGAGACCGTCAGGGAAAACCCCTTCACAAGAGCACAAGAGCTACGCATGGCCAAGAAAGAGAATGTAGTGGCAAACAAAGGAACCGGAAATGCGAATAGAGAGGAGGATTACCAGTCGGAAGAGGAAGGACTAAGCAACAGAGAATGGAGAGAGAAGGAGCCGAGTTTCTTGTCGGAAGCAGGAGCAAGAGAAGGGATGATGCCGAGAGGAAAGCCTTCGCGAAGGAGAGAGAGCTGCTGAATCCGGTGAGCCCGGCTAGCGCGTGAGCCGTCGATGGGGAAGGGCTCACCAGGAACAGACCGAGCCGTACCGTCTAGGGTTTGAGGCGTGGAGATGTTCTGGTCCCAGAATGCTGAATCAATGGCGGTGTTTAGATTCGCCATTGTCCTTCTACCCACTCCTCTGAACCTCCTTATCCCTCTGTTGTCTGGGGGACTCGATGGAGCAAAGGGGTTTAGTGTTGTCGTCGTTCGATTCCGATGTCTCCTATGTGGGCTTCTTCGTGGGCCGCCCATTTTGGGCCTCTTTAAGGCCCATTCACTAAGTGGGCTTGCATTCAGAATTAGAACACGTCATTACAAGACCAAGTTCGCAAGGGAGATTCACTGCTCTCACCGATCACTGCAAACAAGCAGATTTCAGATAAATTGGAAACTGAAACTGTTTTGAATAGACAATGTCCAACCAAGCAGATTTGGATTTATTTGCAAATCTCAGATACTAGAGAAGCTCAAGATGACATCTTTAATGCCCAGAGACAGGGAACAAAAAGGGGGCACAAACAGGGAAAACCTCGCGAGCCGGCTTAGCTGGACATGGGATGGTTGTAAACATATTCAATGGCGAGAGAACAAGAATCGATCCTAACAGCTTCTTTGTCGGGTATTTCGAGCTTGAACTCCTCTTCCAGAGCCATCACTATCTCCACAGTGTCCAGGCTGTCCAAACCCAGATCTTTCTGGAAGTGGACATCAAGAGTCACCTATGGATTGGACAGTTGTTGAATGTGATTAGCAAAGGAAACCAAACAAAAGAACCAAGAAAGACAAGATGATTCCCTGATTCATACGCAATAAACAAGACAGGGCAAGGGAACAGCCTAATGAATGACAGTCACGGAAAAGAAAATGCAATAGACAGTAGAACTCGAACACAGTGACACGCATATATACAAGAGTAGATTCAGATTTGTGCCAAAACATTCAACTTTTCAACTGAAGAGTGATCAGGAACATCTCCTTGTGGAATACCACATCTCAAGCACACGCCCACAGGTCAAAACCAAACAGATCAGTAGAGGAAGCAGTCTCCAACATAGATAGATCCAAAAGTATCTTTTATGCATAAATGGAGAATTCTGTACCTCTTGGTGTTGGATCATTTGGGCACTTTTTGCATTTCCTCAAACAGCTAGTGCCAATGCAAAACATTCAGACTAACATCACATTCTCTCCTCAATTCAGAAAAACTAGTCCATTACAATAAGAAATACGGGCTTCGGTCTGATACCATCAACTACGAGTATAAATTCCACCAAACCCCCCTGTAATCCAAATCTATCCATAAGAAAATAAGAAACCCTCATCCTATCGGCGCTTTCCCACGAATCTTAGCTTTTGACATCGCATTTTACTATTGAAGACGAAGATTGAACTGACCTTAGCGGGATCGACCTTAGGGTAGCTCTTAACGACATCGAGAACTCTGTCGACGACTTCCTGCTTGGTGAGATGATCATCGTGCGATGAAAAGGATCGAGCGGAATTACGGAGATTGATTTGAGGAATCTTGGCTCCTGTGAGTGCTAGGGTTTGCACCGGAACCCTAACGTGTCGAAGAATCGCTGTTCTCAGAGCCATTTCCGGTCTCTTCGAGGGTTAGGGATCGATGTGTAAGCCTCTCTCTCTGGGAGTTCAGAAAGGTAGACGAGAAGGCCGCCGAGGAATCACGTGCTTGACACGTGCTTTATTGTATTTGTTGTGGGCCAGATTTGGTACATAACTAGCCCGGCCCAATATTGTATGGAGCCTTTTTCTTTAGCATAATTTACTCCGAATATCAACTAAAAAAATTGCAATCATTCTTAGTGTTCCAATGAATTAAATTTTGTTTTTAATTATATTAATATACCCACAATAAATAATTTTCTTAGATCTACATTGGATATATCAACACATGGGGCAAAAGAGGGATAAAAAACACCTGGCACTTTGCTGTCGATCCAAAGAAAAAGATTTTACAGGAAGAAATTAATTTGGAGGGTACAAATTCATAAATTACTGTTGGAATTTATGTCACGACAATATTCTTTATTATTTGTAACTGAGGTGGGCAAAGAAGGGACTAACAAACCTGGCATTTTGCTGTCGGTCCAAAAATAGATTTCACAGGGAGAAATTAATTTGGAGGGTACAAATTCATAAAAAAAAAATGCTACGATTATATCAAGACATTATATATATATATATATATATATATATATATATATATATATATATATATATATTTGCAACTCAGATGGGCAAAAGAGGGATTTCAGTTTTCAAACATGGCATTTTGCATATCCTGTGTTCAAAAATAGATTTTGCAGGAAGAAAGGAAGAAATTAACTTGGAGGATACAAAATTCAAAATCAAATGATTAACCAAAAAAAAAATCATAATCAAGTGTTACAATTTATGTCAAGATAAATATTTTTTATTATTATTTGTAAACTCACAAACCCAAAAAGCACCCATAAATTTTCACATATTTCAATAATTAGCCCTAATATTTTCCAAGTTCACCCAAATGACCCATTGGTCCTTCGAACGCAAACAACAAAATGCAAATCATTTGATGAAAACAGTCATGCACTCTTCTTCCAGTGTACGTCAGTCCGGGGCAAGAGGAAACGAGATTTCTCACCTTCCGGCGATCTCTACGGTAAATCTCCGTAAACCCCGGCGAGATCCCGACGGTTCTCTATCTCTATCCGATCTAGTTCGGTAGATCCTCCGAATCATGGCTCCGGTCTCGGCTCTCGCCAAGTACAAGCTCGTGTTCTTGGGAGATCAGTCCGTCGGCAAGACCAGTATCATCACTCGGTTCATGTACGACAAATTCGACAACACATACCAGGTATTTTCATTTCAATTTATGTCGAAGATGCGCGGCGTAGCTCGATTTTGTAGGATTATTGCCGGAAACTTGTGGGCTGGATTTGCTTTGGGTCCAATTTTCACTCTTTTAGACCTCTGCTTTGTTGCGAGGTTCGTGTTCCGAGATGGAATATCAGTTTCTTCCTTGATCTCGTGTTTGAATCTGTGTAATTACGCGTTGATCCGTTTTGTGGATCAATGCTTAGTGTATAGAAGGTGAAGCTGACAGGTTACTGGCGATCGTTTGTGATCTGTTTTTTACCATTCTTCATTTTGTAATTTTCTGCTAACCATTAACCTTAGATTGGTCTGCAAATTCAAAAAGATTCCGTGCCATATACAATTCTAAGTTAAACTGAATGATAGTCTCCTAAGGAAGTTTCTTCTTTGTATCTTTAATCTGAGTTTAATATGCTAATGAAGAACTCCTGTTCTTGATGTGAATATGATGACAGTGTAGGACCTATAGATAAACTGCCATCACTCTACATAGTTTTTATTCCTTATTTTCTAAGAACTTTCCTTGTTTTGTTATCATCAGGCCACAATTGGTATTGATTTTCTATCAAAGACAATGTATCTTGAAGATCGAACTGTTAGATTGCAACTCTGGTAAATTCTGGACCCAGTGTTAGTCTTTTTTCACCGAAAAGTGACATCACGTATTCTAGTTTACGAATTAACCTCGAGACGAATGGCAGGGATACAGCTGGGCAGGAGAGATTCAGGAGTCTTATTCCGAGTTATATCAGGGACTCGTCTGTTGCTGTCATTGTGTTTGATGTTGCAAGTATGTGAACTTTGTCACTCTCTCTGAACTTGTCAAATGCATGCCTTTTTTTTTTCTAACGTCACAGATTTGGTGGCTATGGCATGTTAATAATCATACGAGCGAATGTGTTATCCATAATCTTTTTGTTGTTATTGATCAATGTGTTTTTGTTTAGAGATCTTCCATATGTGCATTCTGAAATCCAGTTGAGTTTTCATTTTTCCACGTGATTTTAGGTAGGCAGTCCTTCCTAAACACTTCTAAGTGGATCGAAGAGGTTAGGACTGAGCGTGGCAGTGATGTGATAGTTGTGCTTGTGGGTAACAAAACAGACCTTGTGGACAAAAGGTATTTGATATTTTTACACCTTCTCTTAGGCTTGTGAGGGTACATTTTGATGCAATGTCCAGATAATGGCAAAATCACAATCGTCATAGAATACCTGACACATAATCCATCTGGTGCCAAAATTTTCCTTTCTCGCTCATGGCCCTGGTGACTTTGTGAATTCAGGGTCTTGGTCCTTGTTTCGTCAGTTTAGTTGTTGTAGTTGGAGGAGTTTGATTATTTCTTTCTGCCATGGTAAACCCAAGTTTAACTTTTGCTGATGACATTGAGTATGCTTCCCAAATGAATAAATGGCTCATGCTTACCACCCTTAGTATCCATCTGCCTGCAAATCAACCACTATCCGAGAAGACTACGCAGAAAATCCGCATCTGGTCAACTGGTTATGTAGGCATCAACAAGCTTTAAAATTTGCCGTGGGGCTTGTTGCTTACTGTCAATGACCTACAGTATTGATGTATTTGTTTGACAGGCAAGTATCAATAGAGGAAGGAGAAGCCAAGGCTCGCGAGCTTAATGTGATGTTTATCGAAACCAGTGCAAAAGCAGGCTTCAACATAAAGGTAAAACGATTTCTGCTTCGATTTTGTAAGAGTAAGGAGTTATGCTGCATATGCACTTGACTTCAACTGAGCCCTATCAAAGCCTACTAATATGGATGGAATATTATCTTAATCTTCATATGTGCCGCTCTCACTAATATGGGTGGATATTATCATAATCTTCATGTCAATGCTCTATGAACAATGTGGGCAGCAGATGCAGAATATGACCCTGAACCCTAAACCCTAACCCTAATCCTAACTAAGCCAAGATAGCGGCAGCTTTGCCTGGAATGGAGACACTGTCTTCGACGAAGCAGGAAGATATGGTCGATGTGAATCTCCGGTCTTCCAATGCAAATGCATCTCGTACACAGCAGCAGGCCGGAGGGTGTTCCTGTTAATGCCACAAAACAAAATTGACAGAAGAAAAAAATGAAGGGAACTAACTCCTCACATGCACATGCTCTCTCAAGCTCACATCCATCTGTAAAAAATTTTGTCTGCTTCCGTTTTCCAACTACATGCACTTTGTTCTGTCTCCATTGTTCCAAAACAAAAAGGGAAGTTGATCTTTGGACTCTTCCGTGGTAGTACTCGTGCACTTTATATGTAATTGTGTGGACCGACTTTTCGATCATTCACATGTATTGTTGTGGATTTGGTTATAACTTATAAGTAAATGTATGCGACTTTTCTGTGTAAAAGCTAGAAAAAAAAAAGTATGTCAACAACCATATACATATATATATATATATATTTAATTATAATCTCACTTTTTCCCTTTTTCCACAGTGTCCATGTGATGGCACAATCAGAGGGCCGAAGACAGAAGATGGACACATGGATTTGGTCAGACGGCATAAATGAGCCATTAATTCTATAACTCCAGGTATTATTATTCCACCATTTTCTCCCCATGCATACATTTCTCCGTTTCATACGTTTTAATGCTTTGATTTTTATGACCTTTGAATCCCCCCCCCCCCCCCAAAAAAAAAATGAAAAATCTAATAAGTAATTTGAATTCAAGGAATTTCTAAGAAAGGAGACAATTTTCGCGATCAGAAAAAAAAATTGCCAACTTCCCCCTTTTCTGACCGTTACCGTAAACGAAGACCTAAAGAAAGCCGCGATCCGTCTCTGTTGGTATTTTTTTTTCACGGGCCCGTCGAATTTAATTTCATGGACCCACCTCCTTATTTACTACACGGTCTTTGGCAAGAGTTAATATGCCGTTGAAATCCTTAAAACCTGTAACATATATGTTCGGGGTTTTTTTTTTGTGCTGTAATACATTAAAATAAATTCGTGCCATGTGCCCATTTAGGTCACAATATGATCACAATGTTATGATACTCGTTTACTACTATTAGATGGTTTGACTTTTTCTAAATCCTTGGAAGCAACCATCGAAATGGAACTTGTGTCCCATCCCATCTAGTTTTTCTCTTAAGACATATCAACGAGAATAACTAATATATATATATATATTTTAAAGACTAATATATTTCCATCCGAAAATACTTCAAATATTCGCAATCTTTACAATAATGAAATGACCTAACCATATTCGTTTTCTTGTGTAATCTATCCGTTGTTATTGTGTACACAAAATTTTTTATAAAACAAATTGCCACTTCATTTCTCCCCCATCCTTCATGCTTTCTAAATATCCTAGGAAACAATGTGACCAGCAATTTTCAAACTGCGAGTACAAAGAACATGAAAACTACATACGTTATCAAAAAAAAAAAAAACTACATATGCAATATCTTCCCCCAAAAAAAATTATCCAATTTAATCATTTTTCTATCCACCGTTGTTTCGGGAACAACCGATTTTAAACTAATTACCAACCTTTGGACTCAATTTGCCATTTGTGATTTAGCGGCGACGAGAGAAGGGCCCAAGGGTATTATCGTCATTTCACACGATCACGTCGATCGGCGACCGATTCCCAAACTCAACGGCGATGATTGGCTCTCCCCAAATCCACGAGCTTTCTCGACCGGTTCGCGCAGAATGATGACGCCGTCGAGATGTGGGGCTTACACTCACCGGAAAACCCGAATTCCGGCGGCAAGTTTCCTTTTCCTTTCCAATGGCGGCTCGGGCTCGCCCTCACTAGCGGGCTCAAGCAGAAGACCATCCCCGACAGGCTTTTCGCCAGCCCCGCGCGTGTCTTCCTCCTCGTTGGAGTTTCCGCCGCCTCCGCCGCCGGCGTTCTCTTCACCTTCCCTGGTGATTCCTCGACAGAGGCCCACGCCGGAGGCTCTCGCTCGTCCTCCATCTCCGTATCCCTCTCCGGCGACATTCCCCGGCAAAACACCTTCCGAGGTCTACGATCGCCGTCGGAGATCATGTCCTCGATGAAGCACGAGGCGGGTTGCTTCTTTATCCGACCGGAGATCACCGTCGAGAACCAGGACATCGACGACGACATGGAGGCGTAGGACAGCCTAGGATCCGACACCGAGGATTTGAAACCCGAATCGAACTCGTCAGATCTGGCCCTGAAGAGATTATACAACCGAGAAAAACCGTTCCTTTTCTTCCTCAACGACCGGTAGGCTTCGGAGCCACCGCCGCCGGAGGAAGAGGGGCCAGGACCCACCTGAGGGGTGAAGAAGAAGCGGCGGTGAGAGGACAAAGGGTAGTGTCCGGCGTCGGATTTTCTGGGCGCCACGTAAGGGGACACTGACCGAGGAAAAGCCAGAGGCGGCGGAACTGGTCGCAGGAAATGGCGGTGATCGCCGGCGGAATCAGCTGCTGCAACGGAGACGGCGAGGGAGAGGAGGCGCTCGCGGAGACAGGAGGCGCAGACGCCGACGGAGCTGCTGAGATCGGCGACGTGACGCTTACACCTCATCGGAGATTGGGTTATTGATTCTGTGAATTTCGGGAGGGAGATTCTGCTGTCGGACTGCAAGCAGAAGCTGAAGATCTGGTGAGAAAGATTTTGTCTTGCGCTGATGTTTTTTTTTTCCTCTTCTTTTTAAGAGAGAGAGAGAGATTAGGAGGAGAGAGAAACTATGCTCTGAGGTTATCCATTTAATGTAAAAATTTCTTTAATCACAAGTGACAACGAAGACCAAACTGTAAGACTTCTCATACTCGTTAATATTAACATAATCATGTCGTGTTTATTTAGATAATAATCCATTTTATTAACTGTACTTTTTTTTTTCCCTCTAGTGGAAACATGAGTTTTCCTTTGTCGTTGACCTTCTTTTTTCCTACCACTGCATCTGAATGCTATGCGTGTCATGATTTGCTCATCCACTTACCTCACCCACAACAACACAGAGTGGGGATGGGGACTAATCATTTTTCGGTGGAAATGCTTCTTCTTTTTGTTTTTTCCCCTTGAATTCGAATTGTTAAAAAAAGGCAATGGCTTACCTCTTCCGGGTTTCTTTTAACTATGAAATCTCTGGGTATTTAAAAACATTTAATTATTTATAATTAAAATTGAACCGATAAATTCGAACTATATATGTATATATGTCTGTAACGAGGGACAATAAAGGAACATGTGAGGGAAGGGGGAGGGGCTGGGGCTGAGGTCGTGTGTGTGATGGCGCAAACGGACAAGTGTTAGGTGTTTGGGGCCCCGACATTGCTCCACGTAAACGGCGTCGTTTATCGTCACCACACGCTCCCTCGTCCGTTTCTTCGGCCTTCCACGTGTCCTCCTATTCCCTTATGTCTGGGCTGGGCCCCATCCTTTGGATTATATGGGCATATTGTAGCCCATTAGTATTTCAGAAATTTTTACTGTGAACAAAAAAAAAAAAACAATGCCCATCATGGCATCCTGCGGTTGTAGACTGCGTGCCGTTTTTCGATTGAAGTAATTTGGGCCTATACTGTCGTATGGACTTTTAAGCTCCGCGGGTAATAAGTTCGGGACGAGGACGAGAAGAATCAAATCAACGCGCCTAAAAATTGCCGAAGGATAGAAAAAGGCGCGAAACGGTGCAGGGAGAAACCCTAGCGAAGCTCATTTCCGATTCTGTGGGTCGCGCTCGGTGTTCATGGCAGGTACTCGTTTCTCCTGATTCTGATCTTATGTTGTATTACTTTTTTGTATTGAATTAGCCGTGGTCAGTACACAAATTTTCCTGGATTCCAACGGTTACTCTTTTCGGGTATTTTGGCGTTCGAAGCGAGAGATTTTTTATAATTTCATGTTCGCAGATCTCTTTCGGACGCAGGTTTGTGATTTTTTTTTTCTATTTTACCGATTGCATATCTTCGAATTTCAGAATGCTTTAGTTTTGTATGATTTGTAGTTGTGATCGGATTCTTATGCTACATTGTATTACTGGGTTTGTTTCTATTTCCGTTGCGATCTACTTCGATTGACGTAGTTTTTTTATGTTTCCGATACTTTGGTAGAAAATGTGGGCATGGAAGAAAGGCGACAAAGTGGCTCAGGGGGAGCTGAAGCCGTTCTAGATCTCCAACCTGGATGTTCAGTGCCTGTTTCATACCACCCACTCTTTGGTCCACACGAGGACCTGTTTCTTCTTGAACTTGATGGCAAACTTCTCCCAGATTTCTTCCATCATAGGTAGGTTGAAGTTTTAGTCAATGGTTTTCTTTGGCTTATCCCCGTGTTCGGTTTGTCTAACAAAGTTTTTGCTGTCATCATCAAATGAAGTATTCATCTTTCACTGGCTGATTCCCTGTTGTCTTGTTTTTTCATATTTTATGAAGCTTTCATGCTCTTTTTCACCGTCATTATCTGCTCAAGGGCTTCTCTTTTCGTATTTTTCATCTTCAGTGTAACCTTGAGGGGACTCCCTGATGAGGATGCGGTTCTCTGCACAAAGTCTAAGACTTATGCAGTCAAGTTTGTCGGAACCTCTAATTCCGTGTTCCTTATCCCTCCGTCCGACTGTTCTGGTTTCCATGGAGATTTACAGGATCCTGTTGCAAAAGAGAATAGTAAGCCACACGTATCGATCATCAAAGCTGCACCTGGTAATATGGAACTTGTTGAGGTTGCTCCTAGACTCGAGAAGCTTAAGCGGCTTCTCTTGGAAAATCCATATCGGGCTTGTGAGGCTTCGGTGATGGATGAGCCAGAGCATAATGAAGAGAGGGGCAAGGGTTTGTACACGTGGAACAATTTAGTTAACTTGGTTCAGGCCAGTGATGACGAGTTACTTAGTGGGCTACATACTCTTTCAGCTGTGGAGATTGATGGTTATTGGAGGATTGTAGACGAAAATTACATGGATATGATTCTAAGGATGCTGCTGCACAATTCTGTACTGAATGATTGGTCACTGGATGCACTTGACGAAGAGGACGTTGTCACTGTGCTTGTATCAGATGAATTTCCCCATAAGCTTGCCCTTCACTGCTTGCATATCTATGGTACCAAGGTAAATGATGGCACGGGTAAAAGCCTTTGGAAGCTGGAACCTAGGCGGGTATGTCTGCATTTCGCTAGAAAAGTATTGGGCGATGAAAAGATGAGACTGGAGAATTTCATGCAAGAGTGGAGACAGAAGATTCCCGAAGGGATGGAAGCGAACTTCGAAATGTTGGAAGGGGAGGTTTTAACGGAGAAGCTGGGGATCGAGACTCGGGTTTATGCATTCAGTGTACGTTCATTGCCATCAACACCAGCAGAGCGTTTCTCTTCGCTCTTTAAGCATAGACCTAAATGGGAATGGAAAGAGTTGGAGCCCTACATCAGGTACTAAACTATCTTCAGATTAAATAACACAGATTTCAAAGAATTAATCAGTTTACGGCTCTGATACGTTTTAATGATTATGCTTATACAGAGATCTGAACATTCCGGGGCTTTCGTTAGAAGGCTTGCTTCTTAAATACACCCGAAGAACGCAGCCTACGGCTGATGCAGAACCTGTTTTCAGTGCAAGATAGTCCTCTCAATCCAGGTTTTGTCGTGTTATTCGGTTATATTTACGATCAATGAACTTGCAAATGCTGTCCGAATTTTAACAAAAGGATGCGTCTTTTTCCCCACAAGAAAAAAATGAGGGAGAGAACCAATCGGAGCCAAATTAAAAGTAAGAAAGGCCCAATGCAATTATAATGGGCCAGGCTTTTGTTGGGCCTTTAGTCCCGGTTTGGTTTCACCAGTTAACATTTACGAAAAGGCTCAAACCAGTTGGCCCATGATTATAAGATTGGGTAGCCCAATCAAGGCCCATTTGGATACGAAAGAAATGCCTTGTTTGATTTTTGAGAATATCATTTTTTTTGGAACTTTTAATAAAATTCTTAATCTGGAAGAATAACGTATATGATTTGAAAGAATATCATAAGAGAACTTTCTAGTTAAACCTCCATATAGATTTTTTTAGTTATAAACCAATGTCTATTTGGAAAATGCATTTTATTACATGGATTGCGTTTTTACTATATATTTTTATATCCTTATAAAGCTGACAAAAATCAGATGTGGATACTCTGTATGATATTACAATAAAAATAGGATTTCCCATATCAAGATTCATCGAATCTCTTCCAATTAGTAAAAATATTATGTTTCCTTGAAACAGAAAACCTATAAACAGAATTAATTTCCAGATATGAAAGTTTCTTGGTATGTTGCCTTTTTGATGAAACATTGAATGTAGGATATGTCATGAAACATGATCATGATAATAATGCAAGAACTTGACAGAATCAACGAGTAAATCTTCTCTTGATTTTCCATGTTTTACAACTCCTACCTTTATAGTCTACACACAAACATAAAACATATATACACACACATGTGAATATATATATATATATATATATTAAGAATCATACTCGTAGACAACTATACATACATATATCCAATCCCTTGTACACTTTTGTTTTGTGGGTAAATTTTTTTAACGATGGCTCTTGTCGGGAAAAATGGGTGGCAAAGCTTGTTCGTAAGCATTTGCATGGGCATGCTATTAGTGATGTCTCGTGGAATTGAGTGTGCAGAATATGGCGAAGCCCTCTCGAAGATCTTTTTGTACTTCGAAGCTCAACGTTCCGGGATATTACCTCCCGGCCAACGAGTTGAATGGCGCCGAGATTCTGCTCTTCGCGACGGCTCTGATTCTCATGTATGACCACCACCTTCTTATATACCTATACATATATGTATGTATATATATAGAACACAGAAAATTTTATCAATGGAGGCAACGAAACAATAGTATTATAAATATATATTATAAAAATTGAATAAAAAAATATCGTCTAAAAAATATTTAGGTTCAACAAATAAATTTTATGAATTTTTATTTTTTAAAATATATTTATATAACTCTATTTATAATTGTTTGAAATTATATTTTTTGATAAAATAAACTAGACAATAACTCAAAAATTAAAAATTTAATGTATTATGGATTAGACTTTTTTGAGTAAATTATCCGTTGAACTTTCTACCAAATTAAATAAAAATTCAATAAATATATAAATATATATATATAGATAAATTTATAAGTATAATAAATATATAAAAATAAATAAATAAAAAATAATAAAGACTATTTAAATTTACAATTTTTATAATTTTTTTTTGTTTTAGTTTTTCTTTGATTATAATTAAATTGATAATATTTTTTATTTTATAACTAATATTTTTAAAAGAAAAAAAAACAGTGGGGGCAGTGCCCCACTCCTCCCCACGTAGGTTCGCCCTTGTGTATAATGTCATATTATTCTCATTGGCCCGTGATTGAATGCTTCACCCTTCGTGTTTACCTCTCAAAAGTATGTCGATTCAAACCCTAATGGCTCACCTTTCGAAAGAAAGTTACTGATCGAAAGATATAATATACGTACTGTAAAAAAAATCCTAATGATTCAAACACTAATGCAATGCAGGTAGATCTTACCGGAGGGTACTATGACGCGGGGGACAACGTAAAGTTCGGGTTTCCGTTGGCGTTCACGACGACAATGTTAGCATGGAGTAGCATTGAAATGGCGTCGCAGTTGAATGCAAACAAGGAGAATGGAAACGCACTCGACGCTCTCAAATGGGCAACCGATTATCTCATCAAAGCTCATCCCGAACCGGACGTCCTCTACGGACAAGTCGGCGACGGACATTCCGACCATGCTTGTTGGCAGAGACCGGAGGACATGACCACTCCTCGTCCTTCTTTCCGTATCGACGCTCAGCACCCTGGCTCTGACCTCGCGGCCGAGACAGCCGCCGCCATGGCCGCAGCTTCCATTGCTTTCTCTCCGGATAACCCTAAATACGCTGAAGAACTCCTCCGTCACGCCAAAGAGCTCTTCGATTTCGCCAAGAATCATCCCGGTCTCTACCAGGACTCTATCGTTAACGCGGGTGCCTTCTACGCAAGTAGCGGATCTGATGATGAGATGCTTTGGGCCGCGGCTTGGCTCCATCGAGCCACTGGTGATCAAACCTATCTCAGTTATCTGACCGATGCCTCCAATGCCGGAGGAACCAGGTCCGTCTTCTCGTGGGATGACAAGTTCTTGGGGGCACAGGTCCTAGTCGCTAAGGTGAAACCCTATTCGTCATTCCGATACTGATAACTCGTGTTGCAAGTATATTGTATGTTTACGTGAAAGAGAAGAACGAGGGGAAGCTGGCGGAATACAAGAGCATGGCCGAGCAGTTTATTTGCGGTTGCGCACAAAAGGGCCCAAACAATATAAAGAAGACACCAGGAGGATTGCTATGGTTCCTGCCATGGAACAACCTTCAGTACGTAGCCACTGCTTCATTCGTCTCCTCGGTCTATGCCAAATACCTAGACGATGCCAAAACCTCCATCAACTGCCCCGGTGGCGAACTCAAACCCTCCGATCTTCTCGATCTCACCCGTTCCCAGGTAGTTTCAGAACTTATCTGAAAGGAAAACTTGAAAGAAAGTGTCTGATTCCGTCAATCCCATCTCAAATCTCAATGACTTAAAGCTACATCAGATTGTCAAAACTTGTAGTAAACGTTTCTACGTCTTAAGCAAGAGAAATATTCCTAAATATTAACCGTGTTACATGACCAGAAAATCGTTTTCTTGTAACCCAAGAAACTGTTTATTGTTCTTCTGCTGCAGATGGATTACATATTAGGTTCGAACCCGAATAAGATGAGCTACATGGTAGGGTTCGGGTCGAATTATCCGAAGAAACCGCACCACAGAGGAGCATCCATTGTGTCGATAAATAAAGATGCGAGTCCGGTGACGTGCCAAGGAGGCTTCGACCAATGGTTCAATAACCCTTCTCCAAACCCTAATGTTCTCGAAGGCGCAGTGGTCGGAGGTCCCGACGAGAACGACGCATTTACCGACAGCCGATCCGACTATGAGCACAGCGAGCCAGCTCCCGTGACTGTTGCACCTCTCGTCGGCGCATTAGCCGCCATCGCTTGATTGATCTTTCTGATTACGACGACTCATGGACCTTGCATATGCATTGGTTCGCGTCGTGTGTTTGCATGCTAAATGAATGTATCTCATTTTCAATATTTGGCTTTTATATATATATAACAACTTGATAATACAAGTTTTGCAAATAAAGGAGAAGAAGGGAGAAATAAACTTTCTAAATGAAATTCTCTTCTTCGATTAATGAAAAAATGGTGTTGTACATTGTATTTAAATACAGAAAACTCTATCAAAAAGATTCTAACAACCGAGAAATAAATGAACCGAGGAATGAATCTATTTATTAAACCAGGTGACAGAGCAGAGACACCGAGAAAACAGAGTATTGCAGGTTCTTTCTCATGTACAGCTTGTTCTTCATTCTTGATAATATATATATATATATGACATAATCTTTATATCCCTTTCAAATCTGGTCCTACCTTGGAAAATACTGATTGGGGGTTTTGGACGAAAGTTGGTATCATCAAAGAAAATACTCAAATTTGAAGAATTGGAATAGATTATGCAACATCTTTATTCTTTAACCAGAAGTCGGAACTAAGCCATGAGAATGTAATTATTCTTCAATCCAGTTTTTAACGGTTTAGTATGCGCTGATTTAGATACGAACGAAGATTAGTTTGAATGTATAAAGTTTAAAGGTGTCTGTTCATAGTTGAATACTATTTAAAACCATTTCGTGGTCTAACAAAAAAAAATACGTGAACAAAGTAGTCTAAGCCCCTTTTCTATATATATATATATATATATATATATATGTAAATAAATTTTGTTAATCTGGAACAAAGAGAGAGAATTATTTCTCGTAACCAAAAAAAAAATTGGGAAGAAAAATCAAGAATGAGACTACCGAATTTTGTGGGCGTTATACAAATAAATGCTCTCCACGTTTACCAGGCAATGTTGGTGGGTATATTATAAAGAAAAGATAAAGTGACTCAATTCAATCACGTCGTTTTTCTTAATAACCAAAATGTTCATAGCATACAATGACTATTACGTGGAAACTCACACGCGCATGCGTATAACATATGTTATATGTATATATACAGAGAAGATGTTAGTCGGAATAGAATTTCGTGGAAATTATTGGCGGTAAAATGGGAGAGAGTTTGGAAGAATCACGTCAGCATGCATCCATCGTACTCGAATTTGGTCCCAAATAGGTTAAAAAAAGGATAGGGACAACGAGACCTGATATAAAGTCTTGGATCGTAGAAGTCTTTTTCACGAATCTTTGTCATGGACCCACTCCCAAATCAAGCTTTCAATAATACAAAGTTACAAAAATCGAACCCGCCTTTGATATATATATATATATATATATATATATATATATATATAATGCGAATGGGATTAAATAAAATGAAGTAACAATAAGCGAAGACCGTCGGTTCTTGTGGGTATAATAAGTCACGCGCTAACGTTTAGGAAATTTCTTGGAAGAACGAAAAGGAAATGAGGACACTCTCTCATGGCAGGAAACGGATTTTTTTTCTAAATTTTCACTAATGTCCATGGCACAGTGGCTTCCGACGAGGTTTTCCACCACCAAACCTCTTTCTTCCCATTAGAGTATTGTATGTTTACGTGGGTGTAGTTTGTGTAAAATACCCCCACGTTCTTTATTTGATGATAACAACACAGGATGAAAATGTTTATGTATCCATTCGAATTCTTCCAATTCAATAAAGGCCATAAATTTCAAAAACTGTTATCAGCTTTTTGTCTCTCGCGATAATTGTCAGTCACCAATGGAGAAGACAACAAACACAATCTGAGGATGATAGAAAAATCCGCGGTGGAATACGAATGAGCCAATGAAAAGCAATTTCAGTCATAAACAATCAGATCTCGAAAACCTCTTTCGGAACAGAACATGTATTTTAATCTCTTTCATTTACTAAAACATTTATTGATTGACCGACCAAGAGAATCCAACTGTTTTCTTCGCTTCGCCGGCGGATTTCTAACATCATACGAAGCTGGTGGCCCCGCGGCTTACGTCACGTGCCACACCCAACCATCACGTGACTTTTCGTCAGGCATATATATATATGTACACAGACACACACATACATATGCCGCATACTCTAGTCGCTCGGTGCTCTCTTTCTCTCTCTGGCCTCGATTTCTGGAATTCCATCAGAGAAAAAACAGTGAATAGATAAAGAGATGAAGTTTGATAGTCTCTCTCGTTATCTGTAGCTTGTAATTGAAGTTTCTTCGTCGGAAGATATCCTCGTACGGACCCCTTTCTTCCGCCTCTTTGTTTCAGTTCCTCTACTTCTGGAACAAAAAAAAAAAGGGTAAGTTCTTGTAGTAGAGATATACTCGAACGCACCCCAAAAAAAAACTAGACGTTGGTCGAATATAATTGGATTCTGTCCATCTAAAAAAAAAATTGTGGGTAGTTAGGAACTGATGAACACTTACTTGGTAACTTGATTGTGCTTGGGAACAGATGATGGATATGCTCATAACGAGGAAGGGATGGCCATGTTTATGGGAGCATGTGAGCATAGCCATGGAAGTCGGCTTCATGGCTTTCATCCTTATCCATTCGGGACTTAAATGGATCGGTGTCTTGAGGGACAGCAGAAGTGCTGATGAAGACGAGTTGAAGAAGCATGATGATGATGACCTGACCGTGACGAAACTCAGCATCTCCTACTTCATCAGCCTTTCCTGCTGTGTCCTCATGGTCGGGATTCATTGTTTCGTCATTTCCCTTATGCTTCTCAGCGGCAGCAGCAGCAGCCTGGCTCGGTGTGATTCCCCTGTCCGAATGTTCTCTGCTGAAATCTTACAGGTTTTGTCATGGGGGATCGCGTCTTTTGCGGTTACGAAGACACGGAAGAAGAAGCTTGTCAGGTTTCCTTGGTTGCTAAGATCATGGTGGCTTTGCAGCTTCTTGTTATCCACCGCCGTATTCTTGGCTTTCGATACCCATTTCGTATCTGCAAAACACAACATCAGCCTCGGGTTTCGAGAATTTTCCGACTTCACCAGTCTTCTAGCCTCGCTGTTGTTGCTTGCTATTTCTGTCCGAGGGAAGACTGATCTCTGTTTCCTCAGTTCCAACGAGATCGCAGAGCCACTTCTCAAATGCGAAACCGATCAACACGAGAGGGAGTCTCTATATGGGAAAGCGACTCTTTTCCAGCGGATGAATTTCTCGTGGCTCAACCCTTTGTTCTCCGTTGGGTATAAGAAACCTCTTGAAAAGGATGACATCCCTGAAATTGATGTGAAGGACTCAGCCAGATATTGCTCTCTGATATTTGGCGAGCGGCTGAAAAGTACCAGAGACAGGGAGGGAGCTGGAAACACTTCGTTCTATAAGTCGGTTTGCCTGTTTGTCTGGAGAAAGGCAGCAATCAATGCATTATTCGCAATTATAAACGCGGGAACTGCATATATCGGTCCGTACCTTATCAACGACTTTGTGGAATTTCTAACCCAGAGGGAGATCCAGAGCTTAAAGTATGGTTATCTTCTTGCAATCGGATTCCTAAGTGCAAAAATTGTCGAGACAGTAACCCAAAGGCAATGGATATTTGGAGCTCGTCAGCTGGGGCTTCGCCTCCGAGCGGCTTTAATATCGCACATTTACCAAAAGGGGATACTTTTATCGAGCCAATCTCGGCAAAGCCACACGAGCGGAGAGATCATCAACTACATGAGTGTAGATGTCCAAAGGATCACCGATTTCATCTGGTACATGAACACCATATGGATGCTGCCTATACAAATCACGGCCGCAATTTACATCCTGCAAACCCATCTGGGTCTCGGGGCTTTTGCCGCATTAGCCACAACTTTAGCCGTGATGGCATGCAACATTCCCCTGACAAGAATGCAGAGAAGGTACCAATCAGACATCATGAATGCAAAAGATGACAGGATGAAAGCTACTTCAGAAATCCTGAAGAACATGAAGATTCTGAAGCTTCAAGCATGGGACAACCAGTTTCTCAACAAGGTCAAGAGTTTAAGAAAGAAAGAGTACCATTGTCTGTGGAAGTCACTGAGGTTACAAGCATTCACAACTTTCATCCTCTGGGGAGCTCCCACGTTGATCTCCGTAGTCACCTTCTCAGTATGTTTGCCTCTGGGAGTGCAACTCACAGCTGGAGGAGTCTTATCTGCTCTTGCAACATTTCAAATGTTACAAGGTCCTATATTCGGTTTACCTGATTTGCTCTCCGTTATCGCCCAATGCAAGGTTTCAGCCGATAGAGTAGCGTCCTACCTTGAGAAAGGTGAAATCCAGAGAGATGCTGTTGAATACTCCCCAAAGGATGAAACAGATTTCGGTGTTGAAATAGAAAATGGAACGTTTAGTTGGGAACCTGATTCAAACAGACCAACTCTTAGCGAGATAGAACTGAAAGTAAAGAGAGGGATGAAGGTGGCAATCTGTGGAGCTGTAGGAACAGGAAAATCTAGTCTACTGTCGGCAATCCTGGGGGAAATCCAGAAGCTGTCAGGAACTGTTAGAGTCAGTGGTACACAAGCTTATGTTCCTCAGTCTCCATGGATATTAAGCGGGACTATAAGGGAGAATATTCTGTTTGGAAGCATTCACGAACCTGAGAAATACGAGAGAACTGTCAAAGCATGTGCCCTAATAAAGGATTTCGAGCTATTTGCTAGCGGAGACCTGACTGAGATTGGAGAGCGGGGGATAAACATGAGTGGTGGACAGAAACAGCGGATACAAATTGCTCGGGCTGTTTACCAGGATGCTGACATATATCTACTTGATGATCCTTTCAGTGCTGTTGATGCTCATACAGGCAGGCAACTCTTTGAGGTAATATTAGTTCATGACATTAGTTGTTTTGGTCACTGTTTTTCTCTAAAACCTTGTGCCTTTCTTAGAAATTCAATCCACTCTGCAACAAGATATGGATTTCACTGCCATTTTTTTTGTTAGGAATGCTTAATGGGGCTACTGAAAGACAAGACTGTGTTATACGTTACCCATCAAGTTGAATTTCTTCCGGCAGCAGATCTTATACTGGTATGTCCTCTAGACCGTGCCTGAAAAACAGTGAGTTCCAAGTTACACACATTGTAGGCTGGAATATTGTGGCTGACACTAATGCTGTATCAGGTGATGCAAAATGGGAGAATCATGCAAGCTGGTAAATTCGGACAGCTTCTAAAGCAAAACATAGGCTTCGAAGTTCTGGTAGGAGCTCACAACGAAGCTCTCGAGTCAATCCTCTCAGTTGAAAAGTCAAGCAGAAACTTCAAAGATTCATCACCTGAAGATGAATCCAAAGACGATAATAGAGCATTAATTGCAGAGACCCCCAAGACACAGCATGAGTCAGAGCATAACATCTCTACCGAGAAGAAAGATAAGGAAGCAAAGCTAGTGAAAGACGAAGAGACAGAGAAAGGAGGAATTGGAAAAGAAGTTTACTGGGCATATCTGACGACTGTAAAGCATGGAATTCTGGTTCCGTTTATAATCTTGGCGCAGTCAAGCTTCCAAGGTCTACAGATAGCTAGCAATTACTGGATGGCATGGGCCTCTCCTCCCACAGCTGATTCCCAACCAAAGTTAGGAATGGATCGAATTTTACTTGTTTACTCACTTCTTGCTGTTGGAAGTTCATTTTGCGTTTTGGTAAGAACTATTCTGGTCGCGTTAGTAGGACTTTGGACAGCAGAGAATTTCTTCTCAAAGATGTTGCACAGCATCTTCCGTGCTCCCATGGCATTTTTCGATTCAACTCCAACCGGAAGAATCTTGAACCGGGTAAGTACCACTTATCCAACAAAACATATATTTGTTAACAAGTCTATAGTGTGCAAAATAGACTAAGGTATGTTTACTATGCCGAGAAAAAGACAGTAAAGGATTAACACACCTTTGTTTGATGTTCAATCATAGGCATCCACAGATCAAAGCGTCCTGGACTTGGAAATAGCAATCAGATTAGGCTGGTGCGCTTTCTCAATCATTCAAATTTTGGGGACTATCACTGTGATGTCCCAGGTAGCATGGCAAGTGTTTGTCATCTTCATTCCAGTAGCAGCAGTCTGTGTATGGTATCAGGTATGGGAAAACTCAATTCAGGCTGCTGGCCAGTGATAGAATTGTAACATCTATAAGGCAAACATTTTACATATCGATGATGTTTCTTCAGCGATACTACACACCGACAGCAAGGGAACTGGCTCGCATATCAGGAGTACAACGAGCTCCAATTCTCCACCACTTTGCAGAATCCATTGCTGGAGCGACAACAATCCGTGCTTTTGATCAACGAGAACGTTTCATCAATTCAAACCTTGCTCTAATTGACAACCATTCAAGGCCATGGTTCCATGTAATATCATCAATGGAGTGGCTTTCCTTCAGATTAAATTTGCTATCCCATTTTGTCTTTGTTTTCTCCTTGGTACTACTGGTGACACTACCTGAAGGAGTAATCAATCCAAGTAAGTCTAAGGCAATATAGATTAGTAATCCATAGGTAACCTTACTCATATAGAGGCATGCATAACTGTATCTGTATGTATTCCTCTCGGCATATAATCAAGTATCAATGGTATCAGACTCAAAAACTTCACATCATCATGCTGCAGGTATTGCAGGTCTTGGGGTTACATATGGCCTGAATCTGAATGTCTTGCAAGCCACAGTCATATGGAATATATGCAATGCGGAAAACAAGATGATTTCTGTAGAAAGAATTATTCAGTACTCAAAGATAGCCAGTGAGGCACCTCTAGTAATTGAAGATTGCAGACCTCCTGATAACTGGCCAGATGCTGGGACAATCAGCTTCAGAGACCTGCAGGTAAGACAAAAAAACATTTTACTATAAGAAATACATTGCTGATATATCATCGAGATATTTTGTGCTGAGATGTCTTTAAAATCCAGAGCAAGTAGTAATATATACTTTTGGAGACCCTCAGGCGTGAGACAGATTACTTAGCCACTTTTATTGCAAAACACATGCTTGTTTAACATCTAAAAACCTTGCAGGTTCGTTATGCAGAGCATTTCCCGGCAGTCCTGAGGAACATCACATGTGTGTTCCCGGGAGGAAAGAAAATAGGAGTTGTAGGAAGAACAGGAAGCGGGAAGTCGACCCTAATTCAGGCAATATTTAGGATTGTTGAACCAAGTCAAGGCAGTATTATCATTGATGATGTGGACATCTCCAAGATAGGTCTTCATGATCTAAGATCAAGGCTCAGTATCATTCCTCAAGACCCAGCACTGTTTGATGGATCAGTTAGGGGAAATCTAGACCCTCTATCACAGTATACTGATGGAGAAATATGGGAGGTAAGGTTCTTACTTGAGAATCTAGCTGGGATGATGCATGAAGTTGTACCTGAAAACATAGTTGTTTAACATTTCAGGCGCTTGAAAAATGCCAACTTGGAGAAGTTCTGCGGACAAAGGAAGAGAAGCTGGACGCCCCAGGTGAGTTTTCTGACATTAAGGGATGTGCAATATAATCAAAACTTCAGATCAGAGAAGTAAAATCATGAATGGTCTGTGGTGACAGTGGTCGAAAATGGAGAAAATTGGAGCGTTGGACAAAGGCAGCTGTTCTGTCTCGGGAGGGTGCTGCTAAAGAAAAGCAACATTCTTGTTCTGGATGAAGCCACAGCATCGGTTGATTCTGCAACAGATGGGGTGATACAGAAGATTATCAATCAAGAGTTTAAAGAACGGACTGTGGTGACAATAGCACACAGAATCCACACAGTCATTGAGAGTGATCTTGTTCTGGTTCTAACTGATGGTAAGAACTATGCACATGATTAATGATTACAGATGGCACAACATAGTATTAGCATCTAAATCACTTCCTCATGAACAGGGAGAATTGAAGAGTTTGACTCACCAGCAAAACTGCTAGAACGGGAGGATTCTTCGTTTTCCAAACTCATAAAAGAGTACTCTGTGAGATCTCAAAGCTTTAGCACCTTATCTACTCTGCACAACTGACAGGCAGATACCACAGGAAGCAATTGTAATACGTTGATGGGATTGGCTGCAACAGATCTTTACTATCACCAATTCAATAAAGTAGAAACTTCATCAAAAGTTCAATACATTCCATCTTCTAGTCATCTACGGAGTTTCCCATATAGACAGACATTCATATAGGAAGAACTCAAAAATCAACATCTACAAAGAAACCGTGTGCCCGACTTTGAAGGATCGGAGAGAAGAGCTCTTGATTCTGTATGCGTCTGGAAATTCTCTGGAAAGCATGGGGTATACCCGATTAGTCAATTCCCAATGATGAGAATGGTGCAAATCCCCCCTGAGGATGAGTCGATGAATTCCAAAATAAGTAACATTCTCTTATAAACAAAAGTGAATCTTATTTATTGAAGATATTAAGGCTCCTTACGGCGTAATCATCGTGGACATGCCATATGGTCTCCCCCAGAAGGTTTGCTACCGAGAGGATTGTGAGCTGAGGAAAGTAGTTCTGTTCCGACACTGGAATTGTGTTGGTTATGATCACCTCCTGAAAAAGACCACTTGACAACCTCTCTATCGCAGGAGGGCTGCACAGAGGCACGAAAACTTGTAATAGACTGCTGTCTGAAAAAGCTTATCTGTGGATCCATCATCTGTAAGATACACATACCTAAAAACTGCATGAGTGGTGCATGCATAAACTTCCCTTGCCCCCTCCTGGTGTAACAAAGCAGCGCCTTTACTTATAGTTCCTAAAACAGAAAACATACAAACAATCAGTGCTTAGCAATTAAAATAAACTGTGCAGTTGCGCAACAGAGGATGAGTTTATTGATATAAGGGATAGATTTCACGACCAATATGAAAAATGTATTAGGTCAGAACTCACCAGCTGTGTCTATCATGTCATCGACCATCACAGCTACTTTCCCTTTGACATCCCCAATTAAGTTCATCACCTGCATGATGGATTGTTTAATGTCAGAAGAAAAAGCGATATGTATATGCCTTAATGAAACAATCAGGTGTAACAGTGACATTACCTCTGCAACATTGTGTCCATGACGCCTTTTATCAACTATGGCTAAAGGTGCATCAGATAACTTTTTGGCAAAAGCACGAGCCCTCGCAACACCACCAACATCAGGTGAAACTACTACCAAATCGTCAGAGTATATAGTCTTGCTGGCTAGGTAGTCCAGTATCACAGGCTGTCCAGAAATATCACAGAAAGTATAAGTTGTCAAGTCTCATATATGTGGACAAAAGTGAACCTTCCTGGGAGCATTTGATGATTTGAGAAAGAAATTCCAATGGGTAATCGTTTAAGATAATAGCCTTTTACCTGACCATAAACATGATCGACGGGAATATCAAAGTAGCCCATAGACTGTCCGGAGTGAAGATCACAGGCGAGAACACGGTTTGCACCAGCTTCAGTAATCAAGTTGGCGACAAGCTTGGCTGCAATGGACTCACGTCCTTGTGTCTGAATAATGGCAAAGGTGAAAAAAGAATTATAAGGAAACTAAGTGGCAACAAAATGCAGCAAGATGCAGAAAACTTATACAACAAATTCAAAACCAACAAAAGGCTACAGAAATGACTTAAACTGCCAATGAAAAGCCTTGACATATAAAGAGTTTATGCAAATAACAAAGTCACAGAGCAAAAGCGGTACCTAAGGGAACCATAAAAACTTACCTTTCTATCAGCCCGAGCATAACCAAAATATGGAATCACTGCTGTAATGTTTTTAGCTGATGCCCTCCGGCATGCATCAATCATGATGAGCAATTCCATAAGGTTTTCATTTGCAGGTGGGCAGGTGGGTTGTACAAGGTACACATCACATCCTCTTACGCTCTCTTGTAGCTGAACGTAGATCTCACCATCAGCAAAGCGTTTGATCTTGATCTTTCCAAGCTCCAGACCCAAATAGCAAGCAATCTCCTACATTAAGTTTAAGAAGCTAATCAAGATTTGCACAACAAAAATCATCAGCAAATATGACTCCAGTAACAAATCCCCAAATACCAAGGCAGAGATGAACAACCTAGAATTCAACGTCTTCTTAATCACATCTACTTCACCAACGGCATTGCACACAGTGCGGTAAAACTCAAACACGAAGCAAAAGTACAAATTACCGAGCTTAGGCTACCGGGCCATGCAATTGAATAGGCGACCGACCTCTGCGATTATCAATTGAAAAAAAGTACCTGAGCTAGGGCAGGATTAGCAGTGCCGGAAAATATCCGAAGCCGGGTAGTGTTCTTATGGATAGCATCTTCAAGACGAGTCTTTGAGGCAAAAAAGCTCGGCGGTGAGGTCTCGCCGTTCAGTAGATGAAATCCGGCGGAGTTTCCGCCGTCGAATTTCAGAGGCTCCGACGCATTACACCACTTTCGTCACACATCACACAAAACAAACATCAGAAACAAGATTCATCCGCCAAGAAAACGAGGAAAACGCGAACTGATCACAGTATCTGTACACGAAAGAAACGAAACTTACAACAGGGAAACGAGCGGAAGAAGAGCGGGGGACTGGCGAAGTACGCCGGAAACGTAGGG